AGGGGGAGTCAGCTAAAGTCCCCCGTGCGCCTCTCTCATTGTTGGCCACAATTTGCATCCACGATTAAGTGAAGGGGGAAATTCCCACCACTTTTTCCGTCCTGTTCACTGGGTTACTTACGTTGTATCCCCTTCGTTCTAAGGGTTTTTTTTTATTGACCACTCTTGTTGTGTTTCACATTTGGGCTCTGGCGGGTTGTGAGCTCTGAGGGTTTCTCAGTTGTATAGATGCGGCAGCCAAACTTAGTGACGGCCCAAGCTGCCTACGACAGTCTTCGGAAGTTTGAGATCCTGCTTGCACCTGGCAGGGCCCGGGGCATCAGCCTGGCGGGAGGTGTCTGCTGGGGTCCAGGGCATCCTCAGAAGTGCGGCCCTTGACCACTTACCAAAATCTTGCAGTGCCCCACCCAATGAAAACTATTACCCACCCCTGGGGTAACACCTCAAGGTGTTAAGAAGTGCTTAATGGCTTCTTTGGTTCAGTTTTTGTTAAGAAGATGGATGGTGACAGGTTGCCTAACATAGTGAATGCTAGTGGAAATGGGGTACGGTTAGAAGTTAAAACAAAAGAACAAGTTAAAAATTACTTAGAGAAGTTAGATGTCTGCAAGTCACCAGACCCTGATGAAATGCATCCCAGGATACTCAAGGAACTGGTAGAGGAAGTATCCGAGCCTTTAGCTCTAATCTTTGAAAAGTCATGGAATTCGGGAGAGATTCCAGAAGACTGGAAAAGGGAAAATCTAGTGTCCATCTGTAAAAAGGGAAATAAGAACAACCCAGGGAACTACAGAGCAGTCAGTTTCACTTCTGTGCCAGGGAAGATAATGGAGCAAGTAATTAAGGAATCCATCTGCAAACATCTGGAAGATAATAAGGTGACAGGTAACAGCCAGCATGGATTTGTAAAGAACAAATCATGTCAAACCAATCTGATAGCTTTCTTTGATAGGATACCAAGCCTTGTGGCTAAGGGAGAAGCAGTGGTTGTGGTATACCTAGACTTTAGCAAGGCATTTGACATGGTCTCACATGACCTTCTTCTCCCAGGGGCAGCTCTGGCTCCATGTGACCGAGTGCTGTGGTGTCCTGAATGTGGGCACTCAAAGACAGGACTGCTTTGCTGTCCCTCATTGAGGTAGACAAGCAAGTGGGGAACCCTGAGAACTGTCTGTCCGGGGTGGGGGTAGGGTCCCTTTAAGCACGGAGCTCAGTTAGCTTCAGGCGGCAGCCCCACACAGTAAGTCCTAACCTGATGCCCTGCCGGCACTGGTTCTGGCCAGCCTTAACTTTGGTTCAGGGTCCACTCAGTGTGGATGCGCTATTTCGAAATAGCAAAACGGTATTTCAAAATAGTTTTGTGTGTAGATGCATTCATTTGAATTAGCTTACTTCGAATTAAATATTTCGAATTAAGTTAACCCGAATTAACGCTGTACTGTAGACATACCCTCAGAGAGTAGTTATTAATGGTTCACAGTCATGCTGGAAGGGCATAACAAGTGAAGTTCCACAGGGGTCTGTTTTGGGACCGGTTCTGTTCAATATCTTCATCAACGATTTGGGTGATGGCATAGAGAGTATGCTTATTAAGTTTGCAGATGATACCAAGCTAGGAAGGGTTGCAAGTGCTTTGGAGGACAGGATCATAATTCAAAAGGATCTGGACAAACTAGAGAAAGGGTGTGAGGTAAATAGGATGAAGTTTAATAAGGACAAATGCAAAGTGCTCCACTTAGGAAGGAACAATCCGTTTCACACACACAGAATGGGAAGCGACTGTCTAGGAAGGAGTACGCCAGAAAGGGATGGTGGAATCATAGTGGATCACAAGCTAAATCTGTGTCAACAATGTGACACTGTTGGAAAAAAAGGAAATGTGATTCTGGGCTGCATTAACAGGAGTGACTTCTCGTGTCTTGCTCACAACATTCTTCCGCTCTACTCCGTGCTGATTGGAGTATTGTGTCTAGTTCTGACCCAACCTTTCTTGACACAAGTCAAGAAAGATGTGGAGAAATTGGAGAAGGTCCAGAGAAGAGCAACAAGAATGATGAAAGGTCTAGAGAACATGAGCTAGACTGAAGACTGAAAGAATTGGGCTTGTTTAGTTTAGAAGAGAGAAGACTGAGAGGGGACATGATAGTGGTTTTCAAGTACCTAAAAGGGTGTTACAAGGAAGAGGGAGAAAACTTGTTCTCCTTGGCCTCTGAGGACAGGACAAGAAGCAATGGGCTGAAATTGTAGCAAGGGAGGTTTAGGTTGGACATTTGGAAAAACTTCCTCCCTGTCAGCGGGGTGAAACGCTGGAATAAGTTGCCTAGGGAGGTTGTGGAATCTCCATCCCTGAAGATATTTCAGAGCAGGTTGGACAGACACCTGCCAGGGATGATCTAGATGGTCCTTGGTCCTGCCGTGAGTGCAGGGGACTGGACTTGATGACCTCTCGAGAGCCCTTCCAGTTCTACTCTCTGATCTATGACCTGGGGACTGTAGGGAGGGGATTCTGAGGTGCATGGTGGGGGCATGACTCAAGCTGTTGGGGGTGGAGCAAACCTTTAAAATGTGCCCCCCCACCCCCATCTCAGCAGGCACCAATCATCTCTGGCAGAAGCCCCTAACCCCACCGCCCTGCCGCAGGGCAGAAGCCCCAAGCCCCAGTCCCGTGTAGTAGATGGAGAATGGGTGGAGATGTGGGAGACTCCAGGAGCCGTTCTTTCACTGTGAAAGAGACACATGTGACTCACGAAGCACAATTTGGCCTCCCTTGGCAAGGCCCATATCAAAATGAGCCGGCGCGGAATTCACAGTCTCAAATTCCAGCATGTTAGCACCTAGGTTTCAAAACAGCAGCTGTGTTGGGTTGCCAGGGAGCAATGGGAGTGTGATCTGGGGTGATTTTCACCGTCGCCTCTCAGCTTTGCTTACCCAGCACGGAGCCGCTGTGTGGATCCCAAAGCACGCGGGCCACGGAGAGCCAGCGCGGCCGCTAGTCCAGAGAGAGTAGAGAAGAATTATGACGGCGGCTGCAGCCCGTGGCCCAGCAGAAACGATGATTAGAGGTTTCCTTCGACAAAATGAGAACTCCTGCCCAAAGCGTGTCATTATTGTCACTTGTAACCGTACGAAAGATGAACACGCTGGGTTCGTACAAATCGTGGGGTCTGTTCATTTCCCTGTTATCTCCCCCACCAGGTTTCATGCCGTTTTAATTTCCTTTTGTAGTCTCTGAGGCGTGAGAGATCTGTTACCTTACCTTGTGAAAGAGAGTCATTTCCACTGCTATTGTGCGTGTCTTGGAAGCCAAAAGCCACGCGGGAGCGCTTATTAAAGGAGGCAAAGAGCTCCTCTGGATCCTCCCCTTTTTCCTTGAAGAAACTGCCGTGTGGCTAGACAGAGGGAATCATAGAATTCTAGAACTGGAAGGGACCTCGAGAGGTCATCGAGTCCAGTCCCCTGCCCTCATGGCAGGGCCAAATACTGTCTAGACCATCCCTGATAGACATTTATCTAACCTGCTCTTAAATCTCTCCACAGATGGGGATTCCACAACCTCCCTGAGCAACTTATTCCAGTGTCTGACCACCCTGACAGTTAGGAAGTTTTTCCTAATGTCCAACCTAAACCTCCCTTGCTGCAGTTTAAGCCCATTACTCCTTGTCCTATCCTCAGAGGCCAAGATGAACAAGTTTTCTCCCTCCTCCTTATGACACCCTTTTAGATACCTGAAAACAGCTCTCATGTCCCCCCCTCAATCTTCTCTTTTCTAAACTAAACAAACCCAGTTCCTTCAGCCGTCTCTCATAGCTCATGTTCTCTAGACCTTTAATCATTCTCATTGCTCTTCTATGGACCCTCTCCAATTTTTCCACATCTTTCTTGAAATGTGGTGCCCAGAACTGGACACAATACTCCAATTGAGGTCTAACCAGTGCAGAGTAGAGCGGAAGAATGACTTCTCGTGTGTTGCTCACAACACACCCGTTAATACATCCCAGAATCACGTTTGCTTTCTTTGCAACAGCATCACACTGCTGACTCATTTTTAACTTGTGGTCCATTATAACCCCTAGATCCCTTTCTGCCGTACTGCTTCCTAGACCGTCGCTTCCCATTCTGTATGTGTGAAATTGATTGTTCCTTCCTAAGTGGATGGGTTATATTTCTGATTTAACTCGGAATGGTTAGAGACGGAAGGGTTAGAAAGCAGGAGAATTGACATGTGGTCTACAACTTTAAAAATCGAGTAGTCTGTCTCGTGAGCTTTCGTGGGCCAAACCCACTTCCTCTGCCCACGGAAGCTCGTGCGATATAACTGTGTATTGGTTAGCCTCTAAGGCGCTACCGGACTACTCATTTTTGTAAAGGTTCAGACTAACACAGCGCCCCCTCTGAGCTGTCCTACAACTGTCATCTGTTCTTTCCAACTGGGGGGGCATGCCAGAAAAATACGCCTGGACATGCTTCTTAATCCCCCGTCTTGTCCACGATCCCACTTGATGTCTGCAGAAGGGCAGAGAGAGTGTCAAGAATCCTGGTAAATATTAAGCAGATCCCTGCCCTGGTTAAGGCTGAGGAGTGGGACACCCCCTTTTCCACCTTGGGAATCTGGGTTTCTGGAGAAAGATTCTGTCGGCTTGAACGGGGCATCCAGAGCAGCTCCCGGAAATGCCAGCCCCAGCCCCACCCCGCTCCGTGCTGCTCCGTGTTGGGTAACGCACCTCGCTCGCGGCGCGCCTGGCTGTTCAGCGGAGCAGCCAGCTGCATTAGTCCCTGCGCCTGGCAGGTGTTTCTGCTCATGAATCAGTCGTCCCAACTCCCCGCCTCTCGCTCGGGGCCAGGCGAGCATCAGCGATGTTAAAAGCTTCCTCGTGCAACTGGGGAAGCGCAGGGGTAGGGGCTGCATGCAAAGATGAGAACAGGAGCTAGGGGTCCCATCCCATGAAGCCCTGGTCAGGCCCCCAGGGCCTCACTCCCTTCCCATGTGCCGGAAGTGAGACCGGGTCTCTCTCCTGCAAGGAAACTACAGGTCAGATCCCTCCAGGGTGGAGTCCCCCGCAGCATAGTGTGTGCTGGGAGCGGGCCATGGCCCCGTCTAGTGCCAGAGAACGCACGAGACATCGCTTCCCACTGTTAAAAATCACGTAGCTGGAGATTGAAGTCATTTTCCTTGCCGGCGCATGTGGCTCGAGAGAAGGCGCTGCTGCATGTTTCATAGCTACGCAGCGGCAGCGCATGGAGGAGGAGGGGTCCTTCCCTGTATTATGCAAATGCCACTTCGTTCCTTCACTATAGACGCAAACCTCCCCACGGAGCATCCAGCTGGCCTAAAACCCCTCCAGTCTGAATGACAGCTCCGTGATCTCTCTTCTTGCTGGTTAAGCTCCCTCCCGCTACCACCCCAGTTTTGTGAAAATGTTTGCTTTCCCCTTGCTGGCTGGGGCTGTGTGAACGTCGTGGGGGCGCGGTCTGCTCTATAACCCAGTGTGGTATGGGGGGGCCTTGCTGGTTGCTGGGCTTGGGCAGTGCGTGACTCCACTGGTGGCTATTTGTAGCACGGCCCAGCAGGACTGTGGATGAGTCACTAGGCAAGGGGCTCCCGACCTGTCCGACAGGTCGCCTCCCAGGGAGACAAAGGCAGGAAGACGGAGACCAACCCCTGTCTGGTGGGCAGGTCTGGAAGAGAGTCAGTTTCTGTCAGGGAAGCAGGGGAGAAGAGGCTAGGAAGGGGGGCTGGGATTGTAGGGCCCAGACACCCCCCATCTAAAGGGGGGGCCCCTGAGGCCTCCTAGCCCCAGCTCCTGTAACCAGATTACATCTGTGCTGTGCTGGATCCTGGAGAAGCAATAAACTCCCTCTGTTCTACCGGCTGAGGGAGTCTGTTCGTGCCACTACGGGGGTGCAGGAGGCGGGGGAACCCCGACGTGCTGCCACACTGTTCTCAGAGGCTTTGAGTGGGGCGCCGAGCAGTGTTCCCTGAAAGCTGGGCACTTCTGCAGCCTCTCAGGAGAGAGTCCAGCACCACCCAGCTGATTAGCAGAGCGCCCACAGTGAGGGTTTTTTTCTACTTGTGGTGCACATTCACACGTGTCAGTGCGCACTCAATTTATTCCGCACACGGATGGAGAAGTTGTGAGGGAGCGTTGGTGCAGAGGAAACGGTGGGTTTCGGGGGGTAATGGGCATGCGGAGCTACTGACACTTGAGTGGGTGGGTAGCTGGCTTCAGGCTGGGGAGGCAGGTCTCAGCCATTTGCATCCCTCACCATCTGCATCCCATTTGCATCCCTGCACTCAGCCCTGGCCTGGTCACTTCCCAGCCCGACTTCAGAGGCTTCAGCATGTGCTCGGGCGCCTCTGGGTCCTGCATTGCCTGCAGGCCGCTTGCAGGGAGCACAGGTTCCCAGACTATGCAGCAGAACAACACGCCGGAGCACACCCACCGGCAGGCCCTCCATATCCCTCTGCAGCAGCGCTAGCCCCCGGCCTCCCGGGTTGCTACGGCGACAGGCCACTGGCCTGGTCCTGCCCCCGCCCCCCGGAGGAGATAGGGACAGCAGTGCCAGCGTCGGGGTCATTGGGGTTGGGGGACTTTCCGGCGGGTGCCACCCCAGGGTTCAGTGCCGGGGTTGGCAGGGTTCAGCGCCCGTTGAAGTCAGTGGAAAGATTAACGAGCCGCCCTGTGGCACCGTCCGATGTGTCTGGGCACCCGCATGCGAGGGGACGTGGAATGGGAAGATTGACTTCAGTGGACTTTGAGCGGGGCCCTCGGTTAGACCTGGCTCCAGTGGCTCTGGGTGTCTCTACCGCTGGGCAAGCCCTCCCCCCATGAAGGGGCCCTGTTGAAGAGCACGGTGCTGTTGTCTGTGTGCATGGAGGGAGTGGGGGGCAGCCAAGCCTCAGAGGATGCCAGCTTGGGTTAGAGAGAACACTGCCGGCCTGCGTGGTGGGCCGGGGGCACCGCTGGGTAGCCGCGGATGGGGGCAGTGTAAGTATAAAGTGCTGGGCTCTTTCCAACCACGGGGATCATCGTAGGCGTGAGCCCGGAGCAGGACCGTTGTGTTACCAGCCACGCCAGAAAGGGGCTGGATCGTGCTGTCTTGGATGGCTCAGGCCCAGCGAGTCCTGCCGCTTGGCGGGAGCTGAGACTCGCCGGCCCTTACGGTCCCGGTGAACTCTGGCTCCAGGCGTCTGTGCTTAGTGTCCGCGGCTCAGGCCTGCCTTCCTGAATGTGCTGTTCTTGCTCCGTCCACCTAGGTTCAAACTGCTGAGCCAAGAGGAGGGGGAGTACTTCAACGTCCCCGTGCCGCCGGAGGGAGAAGAAGGAAATGAGGAACTGCGGCAGAAATTTGAGGTGATTCGAGTTTTCTCCGATACCCTCAGAGCCAGCGCTGGGTGGGCCTCCTGGAGCCCTGTGGCGAAACAGCATTTCCTGCCTGCCTCGCGTTAGCGAGGAGGGAGGGAGGGAATATCAGTGAGAGCTCCGCTTCAGACCCAGGCTGTGCCCCGTCCCCCTTCCTGTCTGTGTAGCCATGGGGTGGGGCCTTGTTTGCTCGTGGGGGCAGCCCGCCTGCGTCCCTCGCACCCAGAGCCGTGCACGCGGCTTGTGGGGGGAAGTGATTTCTTCTGCATTTAATTACAACTCACTTCAGAGACTTGAAGCTGTTTTTTTGCGGGGGGCCAGGGGTGGCGGCATCCCCGTCTAGGGGGTGGCCTGAGCTCCTGGACCCGGCGTAAACCTGAACTGAGCTGGCTGCCTGCCCGCCCAGCTCCTAATACATTTGAAATGCCAAGCCGCAGCAGGGGTAGGTCCCAGAGCTGTGCTGCTGGCCAGCCTGCTAAAAAATGTACTGGGGGAATGTGTGTAATGTATAGTATTAACCGATAAGCTTTTGCTTATCGACTACACTTTTACATCCCTAGTGCCACTAGATTGGACCATGCACCGCACCAGCAGGCATGTGGGTGACACATGCACAACATCCCAGCCTCGAGTTAGTGAGACTGAGGCCTGATCTTTAGAGCCCTGCAAATCCGCGGATATCTGCTTTACATCCCCGGGGATCCACCTCCACTGCCAGGGCTGCAGATAACTGCAGCTCATTTTTTGCAGGTGTGGATGTGGATACCAATTTTGCCTCCGCGCAGGACTCAACAGATCGTTGCGGGTGTAGATCGCCCAAGCCCCTGGTGATCGCCCCCTTTCCGACAGCTGAGTGGTACGCTGCAGCGAGCCCTTGGCTCAATTTTGCTTCAGCCGTGAGTGATGGCTGTGGAGCTGTGCTGGTACGCCCGCCTTTTCTCCATCAGAGCACGCAGCCCGTCTGAATTTTAACTAGGCACCGAGGACACTCAATACGGTTTTTACTCGACAACCTTTAATTAAATTCTGCACGTTGCTTCAAAGAGAGCTTCCGATCGCTATTGTTTGGCCCAGGAGTGCTAATGTTTGTCTTCACAAGAGCACTTAGCCTCTGTGGGTATTAAGGGTTGTCATTAGTAAAGCATACTGTGAATCCCATTTGATCTGAACAGAACCGTTTAGACCCTGCAGACTCGGGGACGCTGTGCGTGTCGACCCCCCTTCGTGTGTTGCAAATAGCCGTTCAGATTTGTGGAGCCAACTGCAGTGGATTATTTCACAAATGAGATGGGAAGGCTGCAGAAGATATAGATCCAGTGTGTAGCGTGGGCATGGTGTTGTACTGGAGGGCATCAGCTATACATTCCCCACTGGGGACTGATGGGAGTTATTTCTCATTCATTGCACACGTTAGCCCCGTCGCTTCCCTAGAATATTGTAATTTAAACTGAAAAGACAGCCGCGCGGGTGTCTGGTTTTAACTTTTTTTGGGGGCACCATGGGTTGGTCACCCATTGGAGAAGCTAGCTGTGCGGCTGAGATACAGGCGCAGGTTCTTTATGCTAACAGTGTCATTTGCAGTTCATCTAGAAAAGCATTTCAGCAAAGTAAAGTTTTGGATAGCTTTGGTGTGTAGTAGTTTGTGCGCTGCTGACCGTTCAATTCAGAGCCACAGATCTACAGGTTACAGGAGGCATGAAGCTGTGTGCCACTCAAGTTGTGTGTTTTGGTTTGGTTTTAATTGTTGGCAGCTTCTCTGTGTCTTACACACATCGCTTTATAATAAACTCGGCTTTATCGTTTCGTTCTCAACTTCTGAGGTTAGATCTGTGTAAGGATTTGGGATTCGACAATTTTTATGGTTGCCAGAATGTATATACGTGTAGCAGGAAAAGGAAATCCCAGAATCAAAGGACTGGAAAGGACCTCAAGAGGTCATCAAGTCCAGTCTCCTGCCCTCAGGGCAGGACCAAATCGTTACATGCTTTCTTTTCATTTAAGAAAGACAAAGGTCATGCCCTTTGATGGCCGAACACACACTTGATGTCAGAACAATGGAAGTGTTGTTTGAAATCGCAATTTTGCTCTGAGTTTTGTTAGTCTCTTTTATCTGTAGTCTGTGTGGACAGCTTCATTACCTAGAGTAATTTATAAACTAAGACATTGATATAATTGTGTTGGAGACCTAACTCAGAGAGGAATCCTTAAATTAATCTGCACCCGTTCCGTTTCCTATTTTGGGAATCTCCTGTATATGATGCAACATATTTAGGATAGGGAACTCTTTCATCTTTGAGAGGATGAGGTTCCTGTGAATTGACACTTGTTAGAAATTGATCCTTAATGGGCATGTTGTATGAAATTGTTAACTGACAGAAAATGCAGACAGAATTCTTGTCAGAGCGACAGGTCCCTCTCCGCAAGCTAATGAGTCACCCTTTAATACTGGAGCTAGCACTTCCCTTCCCTCTTGCTTGGGGTGCAGAACAGTTGCTCGAGCCTGCACCATGACGCAGTCTCGCATGTTAAGATCTGGAACTAAATTAATTGGGCAGTAGACTGATTGGCAAGGCCAAGCGGCAGTGCAGGTTGCATTGGTTGTGGTGCCTTTGTACAAAATGTGCAGGCCAAGTGCAGTGGAAAACGGCCTAATGCGTCTGGCGGGAAGAGCCGGAAGGGAGGAAAGTCTCTCTTCGGAGAGAGGCCCCGGAGACGTATCAGAGAATCCTAGAATCCCAGGGATGGCAGAGACCTCAGGCGGTCGAGTCCAACCCCCTGCCCAAAGCAGGACCAACCTCAGCTCAATCATCTCAGCCAGGGCTTGGTCAAGCCGGGATTTAAACACCTCTAGGGATGGAGATTCCACCCCCTCCCTCGGGAACCCAGCCCAGGGCTCCCCCACCCGCCTAGGGAAATCGTTTTTCCTAATCTCCAACCTAGACCTCCCCCACTGCAACTTGAGCCCATTGCATCTCGTTCTGCCACCTGCCCCCACTGAGAACAGCCTCTCTCCAGCCTCTCTCCAGTCTCCGTGGAACCTCCCTTCAGGGCGTTGAAGGCTGCAATCAAATCCCCCCTCACTCCTCTCTGCTGGACCCTGGCGTGACACGCTGACTTGGCAGCATCCAGACTCTCTTCTGCAGCATTTGTTCCTTCACTGGGCCTTGCCAGTTCTTAGTCCCATCCAAAAGCTTCTTTGCAGCGTTGTGGGCGGGGGCATGTTCCCGTCCCTGGATGCGAACACACCCTGCGCATTGGTGACTGTGTGGGGCAAAAGAAGGGGGAAGAAAACCTGATCATTCCGCAAGATCCATGTGTCCTCCCAGCTGCTCCGTTAGTGCTGCGGGACCGGGCGCCGCTTGCTGTGCTGCTCCCAACTCAGACTTGTGCTCAGCACCTCCCAGAGGAGACGGGCTTTCCGCTGAATCACCGCTCACGTGCTGCCTAACCTCCCTCGAAGGTCCCCGCGGTTCCTGGAGCTGGAACGTGCACCAGGAGCCTTGCCCCATGGGTGACTTAGTCTGGCTTAGCCAGGCTTCCTGATGGGGGCGGGGAGGGAGAAGAGGAAGGGGGCGATTGCCCAGGGGACTGGGCGATTTAAAACAGTCCGGGGGCCCCAGTCACGGCCATGATCACAGCAACCGGGAACTTGGCCTGGCCCTTTTAAATTGCATGCCCACTCCAGCAGCCCGGGGACCTCCTTGTTAGTTGGTTTCTGGGCAGGTTACAGGCCTAGGTGCGTGGGCGGGGGCTGGAGTCCACATCCCCCTCCCGGCTCCATTCCTTCCTCGTGAGAAACCCCCTGCCCCTCCCTTGACTGGAGCCACAAGCCCCACCCCCAGAAGCATCCAGCGCCCCCCTCTTGCAGAGAAGCCCCAGGCCAGCCGCAGCTGCCCCTCTCCTCCTTGCTCTGAGCAGTGTGTGGGGCTTGGCTGTAGCTGGATGCGGAGGTGGTGCAGTTGGATAGCTCGCAGGTCCCGACCCCCTCTCCAGGCTGCGGCGTTTCAGCATGCGGGCAGGGTGATCCGCCGGCTGGCAACAGAAGAAAAACGCGTGTAGGCAGATCGGGCTTGTACGAGGTTGGATCTGGCCCATGGGGGGCCCTTGTATTCGGGTGATTCTAGAGCCATATGGAATCCCGGGAGACTTTCCAATCTTTCCTGCACACAATGGACGTTTGCTATGGCAAGTTGATCGGATTCATCGATTCTTAAAAAGTCTAAGAGCAATTTCTGCAGGACTCCTGTGCCAAAAGTGGGGGAGGTCTAGGTTGGAGATGAGGAAAAACGATTTCCCGAGGCGGGTGGGGAAGCGCTGGGATGGGTTCCCCAGGGAGGGGGTGGAATCTCCATCCCTAGAGGTGTTTAAGTCCCAGCATGACACAGCCCTGGCGGGGCTGATTGAGTTGGGTCCTTCCTGGTTTGGGCAGGGGGCTGGACTCGGTGCCTCCTGAGGTCTCTGCCAACTGTGGGATTCTGTGAAAGGTCATGGTGGGAAGCCTCCTGAGGTCTCTGCCAACTGTAGGATTCTGTGAAAGGTCATGGTGGGAATAGAGAAAAGCAAACTGCCGCTGGTTCCCTGGATGTGTTACAAGGAGGTTTCCTGATCGTCTGAATTTTCTTTTTGTCTCTACCTGGGAGGCGGATTTTCTAGAAGAAAACCAACGTTTCCAGCGGAAGAAGCAAAGCACGATGTTAAAGGATATTTTGTAATGTATCGAATGGTGAAATGTCAAACCCAGCTGTGAGCTCGGAGCCTATTGATTTCGGTCAGGTCTCCGATGTAATATAAAAACCAGAGGCGTGGTCATGCCGGGCAGCGACCCAGCCCTTTTCTGGCTACTTGCCTCGTGGTGTTTTCTTTGACCATACTTGGCTCTGACCTGCTGTCTCCTCCTCTTTCGGATTTTACATGGCATCGGTGTGAGAGGTATTGTCCTGCTTGGAATGCAAGCCGCACCGGCTCGGTGGGTTCACCTCTCCAGCCCCCAG